CAGGCCACACAGTGAGGTTCCACCTTCAGTACCCACAAGGGGCTGGGGTGATGCTGTGGCCACAATGCCTTGTGGAGTGTTCCTTTGATGTTTTTTAGGTTAGGGTTGCTGCAGGCTGGGGAGGCGTGCAGTAACTGGATCACAGCAGAGGGGGATTTCCTGGGCTAGAAGGGTAGGGGGCGCTTGGGCCTGTTGGTGCACATGTGTTGCTGTCCCCCATGTGCTTTGCTTTGCATGTGAGCACCACGGAGACAGAGGTGGCACGGGCTGAAGTGGTGGCAGGCCACGGTAGCACATGGGCTTGGGGGAGGCATTCACTCAGTAGTTGTCCACGGAGCACCTGTTATGCTAGGCACTGCCCTGTGTGAGGAGGTGACGATAGATGATAAAGCCACATCCCCGCCCTTGCTGAGCTGTCACAGGCTGGGGGGAAGGAGGCACTCAGGCAGACAGTTCCTACCAGTTTGATACGTGCTCTCAGAGGAAGTGCACAGTACTTTGGGAACTCAAAGGAGAGGGGTCTTGAACCCTGTGCAGGGAATGTGGTCAGGGAGGGCTTCCTGGAGGAAATGGTACCCTAAACTGTTGTGCGTCTTAATTGGAACCTTGACATTTAGAAAAAGCCCTAAACGTTCATCTTTTATATGTGAATAAGGATTTCCTTACTAAGATTTGGGATTTTCTTACAGAAGAGGCCCCTAGCATAAAATCTACACATTCCCTTTAGGTAGGCATGGCGGATCTTTTTATCCTTATGTTGCGGAAGAGGAAACTGAGCTGTGATAAGTCTCAAGGGTAAGAAGACAGGAGGGTGGTCTAAGCAGAGGGAACGGCATGTGCACAGGCCGGAGGGAGGAGGCTTTTGTGTGTGTGTGCTAAGTTCATTGGCTAAGATTTGTACCTGTGACATCCCAATTGGATTTACAATCAAACCCAGCCTGAGCCCAAGGCCAAGGACGTCGGCAGCCTTGGCTTCCTCAGTGGAATGACCTTTTGGGGTGGCTTTGGTGTGACGGCTGAGGTGGAGCCAGCTTCTGGGGCTTCGGTTATCCTCCGGTCAGATGTTGAGCTCCGTCTGTGCAAACTTCCTGGGCCAGTTCTGAAGGGCATTTCCACGAGAGTTGGGGGCCCCCAGGGAAGACCCTGGCTTACCCCTTCTGGAGGAGGGCTGTGGGTAATGGGGGACTTTAGCACCTCGCTGGAGGGGGCAGAGGGAGGGAGCCCGTGCTAATCCCGGACGCTGAGACTTCCTGGAGCCAACAGCAGGCAGTTTACAGCTCCCCCAAGGCCGCTGGAAGAACTACTAGTACTTGTTTTAGAGGAGGAGCAGACTGGAGTGGCAACCTGTTATCATTTCCCCAACTGCTGCTTTCTGGGCCCCTGGGAGATTCATCGGTGATGTGTGGGCCACGGGGTGGGGCTGTGGGGAGGGGAAGCAGGCCCTGGCTCGTGCTGCCCTGTGGCTCTGCCTGCCCCATGGCCGCCCTTGTCACCTGACCCTCCCATGCACTTCTTTCCTGCTCGCCCTCCTGTCCTCCCTGTTCCATCCTCTCACAGGAAACCAATGTGGGAGGCATCCTGCACGCCTCGCTCTCTCTCCACAGCCACTCGGTGACCCGGTCTTGTTGATTTTACCTGCTTTCATTTGGAGCACAGGGAGCTGGGTCTGCCTCGGGCCAAGCCCCGCCCTCTCCAGCTCTCCAGCAAACTGCCCGAGTGACCTAACACACAAGCCTGGTCCTGCCGGCCGGCCCCTCTGCTCTCCGGGGCTTGCCCTTGTAAGTCCAGACCGCAGCAGGCCCTGGGTCCTTCACTCCCCTTCCACCAAGCTGGGACTTGCCCCCTGAGCTCCATCCCCTCTGTCTCTGCTTCTTCCTGAGGCCTCTGCCCCGAAAGCCCCGCCTTGCCGCCCCCCTGCCCAGTTTATGACGTCTCCCTGGTGAGTGCTTCCTGGGGAGACGGTGTGTCTTTGTCTCCCCCATGCCCAACACGGTGCCTGTGCCCAGGACTGTTGGGGCCGCCACTGGCAGAGGATGCAGCCCCAGAGAGAGCGGGTCGGAAGGACGGAGGAGGCAGGGAGGGCAGGTATGCGGCGCTTGCGCTGTTTTTCAAAGTTGGCCTTGGATGCCCGAGTGAGTCAAGTGTGTCGGTGCCGCCTCCTTGTGCTGTCTGTGCTGGAGAGGCCTGTGCTGCCTGCAGGGGTCGGTGCCCAGCAGGGCCCATTCCAGAAACTTCGGTCCCCTGGAATCCAGGGGAGATGAGGCTGCTTCGCAGTCCCGCCCCCCCGCCATCCCCGCGCCGTGACCAGACTTATCTCCAGTGGACCCACCAGTGGGTTGCGAGGTGCAGGGCAGCCACTGTTCGCTGCTGTCTCGGCAGTGGCCTCACCTTTGCAGATTCCCAGTTTCCTGGACCGTGAACAGCGTGGACCGTTCCCCAGCACAGTGTTGTAGGGACACGTGTGCACCGTTTTGTGCGGCCCTCACAGCCCCTAGTGGGCCATCCCTGGATGCCAGGGTTAGGCCTCTGGTGTAAGGTTCCTTTGTCTCCGCCTCTTGCTCTGGAGCAGGGTGAGGAACCCTTTTGCCCCTGGGAGGGAGCCCAGCTGATCCGCAGAGGGAGGGGGATTGTTTACCAGATGCAACGGGCGCTTGTCATGCCTGACAGTCAGGGCCTCTGGAGTAAGTCCAGGGTGGCCCAGGTCAATGCTGCCCCAAAGGGTGGGCCTTCTGCAGAGTTAGGAGTTAGAGACCTCAGACGGGCAGGTGCCGCAAGGACTCCCCTGGCCGCTCGCTGGACTCCTTCCTCGGAGCTTGGATTGTCAGAGCCGATAGCACTGGGGGCTGGGAGGTTGGCCTTTGAACCGGACTTGGGGAGGATGAGCAGTGCCCTTCCTCCCATTGGCTTGTGTACGGAGCTCCCCACGCCCCGAGCACAGGGGCCTCTGGATCTTCCACTTGGCCAGTCTTGGGAGGTTGGGATGGCTTTGAAGCAGGGGAGAGAGATCAGTGGTCGCCCTGTTTCACTAACAAACGGAGCTGGGGGCAGAGTGGCGGAGGTGGGCTGCCCACCTGCCACCTTTCAGAGCACTTTCTCTGCAGTAGCTCGGGTGTGTGCTGGGTGCTCTTTTACACCTGCTCGGGGCGGGGGCAGTCAGGGATGGCACCTGGTGAGGTGAGCACTAATGACATGTGTGCTTGGCACATGCCAGGCTGCCTCATGCCCGTTATCTTTTTTTTTAAAATAATATATTTTATTGATTTTTTACAGAGAGGAAGGGAGAGGGATAGAGAGTTAGAAACATCGATGAGAGAGAAACATCGATCAGCTGCCTCCTGCACACCCGCTACTGGGGATGTGCCTGCAACCAAGGTACAAGCCCTTGACCGGAATCGAACCTGGGACCCTTCAGTCCCCAGGCTGACGCTCTATCCACTGAGCCAAACCGGTCAGGGCTCATGCCCGTTATCTTCCTGTTCCTCCAGATGGCATGAGCGAGGCCTGGGAATCGCACTGTCCCTGTGGTGCCCGGGCTGTTGTTACATGTTCTGTGGGTGAGGGAACTGGGCTCAAAGAGGCGCAGTGTTAGCAAGTTCAACTACCAAGTCCACGCCGCGTTACGTTGCAAACTCATGGACCTGCGGAGGCCAGGCAGCTGCTGTGAATGGAGGAGGTGGGCCAGGAAGCAAAGGGACCTAGATTTCATGCTTCAGCCAGTGGTTGCCCTGCAGGGGTGCAGGTCAGTATTGCTAGCTCTCCTGGGAAACCCCTGGATTTCTGAAGTCTAACCCAAACACGTCCGTGGGGTTCAGTCTGCAGGGCGAGGCTGGTGACCGCTGCCTGGCGACCTCTTTCACATTCGCTGTTGCCTCCCTCACCCGCCCCTGGTTCTGCTGCCTGTGGAATTCCCTCGGGGAGAACCAGAGTTCATTGCTGAAAGAGGTCTTGGAGGATTTATCTGGGCTAACCCATAGCCATTTACCATTCCTGTTTCACCAAAAAGACAGGTGGGGTGGGTGAAGGCAGACGGGAGGGTGAAACGGGCACTGGCATCGCTGCTTCCGGTTCTGAGCCCTCTGGGCTCTGCCACAGGTCCCCGGGGCACCTCTCGAGGCCACTGGCACCTCCTGCTGTCTGTCACTCCACACTGAGCTGCCCTGGCTCTGAGGGTGGCACGCGGCCCTGCGTCTTCCCTCCGAGGACTGGACGCTGGGGAGAATGCCGGGACAGCTTCGTGCCTGCGTTTTGAAATGTGTCCCCAGCAGCCACGGTTCACAGTCAGTGAGATCTGCCTCCTCTTATCCCAGCTCCTCCCTTGCCTAGGTGTGGGGTCAAACAGTGGAGGGCGAGGCACCCCCTTTGCTTGCAGGCCACCCCTCTCAAGGGATGGTGCCCCCAGAAGAAGACATTGGAGTTAGGGCACAGCAAGGAGGGGTGGACAGGGACAGAGACTTCCACTTTTACAAAGGAGAAAAGTGGTGTCAGAGAGGGCAGGAGCCGGTGGCCCCGTCTGACTTCTTTGGTGACCACTTCCTGTCTGGTGTAGAGATAGGCAGGAGGAGAGGCAGCAGCCCAACGGGCAGTTTGGTTCAGATCAGAGGTTGCCGAGGTAACCACAGGCTCCCTGATTTCCGTGTAGCTGTTTGGGGACAGAAACACAGGATTTCTGGTCCTGTCTGTTGCCGGGCACAGAGCAGGCACTGAGTGCAGAGGGATGGGGTCCATGCTCCTGACCTTTTTTATTTTTATTGATTTCAGAGAGGAAGGGAGAGGGAGAGAGAGAAACATCAACAATGAGAGAGCATCATTGATTGCTGCCTCCTGCACGCCCCCTAATGGGGGAATTGAGCCCACAACCTGGGCATGTGCTCTTGGCCAGAATCGAACCTGAGAACCTTTAGTCCGCAGGCTGATGCTCTATCCACTGAGCCAAACCGGCTCGGGCCATGCGCCTGACTTTTGCTGGCCTGCCGCCTGCCCCCGTGGCCCTCCTCGGCCCCTCAGAGCGAGAAGGCATTCCATGCAGGCGCTGCAGAACCCAGGGTCCAGGGGAAGTCACCCGGCCCCCCTCTGAGCATTGCTTCTGTTAGAAGGGAGTCCCCACTGTTCAAAACCTACTGTCCTGACCGATTTGGGGGTATTCTGTGTGTGTGCACTGGGGACTCCCTGTGACGTTTTTGGCGTCAGGCCGGGCACTGCTCTTGCCATCTGCCCTGGCTCTGCCGGGGTGAATTCCGAGCTCCAGTGTCTCCTCCAGGAAAATCCAAATCAGGACTGAGGTGGGCCCCTCCCCCGCCCCTCCGTCTCCTGGTGTAACCACCGGGCCGTGGTGGAGGGAGGCCAGCCGCGCCAGGCTGGAGCCTGGGGACCCTCTGCCGCTGGAGCCCCAGGGCACAGGGCGCCGGCGAGGTTCTCCCGTGAGGCTGGCCACCTGCTTGGCTCTGCCTCGGCTCTGGGCTTGGTGGGCTTCTTGTAGGGAGACTACAGGGTCTTTGGTTCTGTGCCCACCGTGTCCTCCTGCACTGTGATGCCCCTCCATGTGAGCCCTGCTGGCGAGACCGACCGGCAGCCCAGGTCTCTGGATGCTTTTTGTTTCAGGAAAGTCTGTCTTTCCTCCTTTTTTTCTCTTGTGGTTTCCTCGTGTGACTCTGGTTAGCCAAGGCCATGAGGACTGCGGCCTCCATCTGCTCCCTCCCTGCCAGCAAGAGGCCGGTTTCCCATGGGGAGAGTTGGCAAGGTCTGGGCTTCGAGAGAAATTTGTGTCATCAGGACAGTGGCTATAGGCACCCTCCTTTGTAGATCAGTGATACCATCCCACTAG